GGACTCTTCCCAAACGACTCTTTCGACCGGATCGCACCATCTTCGTTCCCCATACTTCCTGTTCGCCGTCAGGGTCGATGTAATTGAGAAGAGAAGCGCATCTTGCAAGAAAATAGATATGCCTTTTAATCAAACTAATGGCATCCCTTTTCTTGCTTACTTCGCTAGCAAGGTATTCCCGATTGTCATCAGACAGAGGATAGGCCGAAGCTCCAAGTAGGAGAGGTCAGAGTAGTGGTCGCCGACTGAAAGAGATTCGAGGTTGAGGCAGGTTCGCAGGTAGTGAGATTTTCTATCTATTAAAACCGAAGTACCCTTACATGATGCAAGGGTGTTGAGAACATCGTCATTCTAAGACAGAAGATTCCATTCGGGGAACCAGATCCAAGTCAAATCGAGAGTGTCCAACGACGGCTTGCAATCGGGACGGAGAGAAGACTAGCTAAAAAACTCCGGAAGGCGCTAACAAACCGACTCTGCTTCCCTACTGAGTATACCTTCCCTTGAACACGAATTGCGAATATGCTTTGCTGAGCCGGTGATGCCTCTTTTTTCCCCTAGGGATAACGCCTAGCCACCAAAAGGGCTTAAAAGCGCCTTCATTTCAGATGCTAAGAGTTGAGTCATACTAACTTTACTTAGCTCGGAGAGGGCAATTATCATCGCGCCTACCTTTCCATAGTAAAGGGAAATCCAAGTCGATAGTACTTAGGTACTGGTCTTCATACCCTTTTTAGATAATACAGGACCAACTGTAGTCAAAGCAAATGCTACTGCTAATACAATTCTATCCCACTCAATCAGTTAGAACATCCACAATCCGAAAGGTGATTCCTTTCTATTCAGGGATCTTTCTAGCAGCCCTGCCTCCAACCTTGAGTTGAGCAATTCGTGTGAACAGCTAAATAAACAGCCCACCAACACCTTAGGGCTCGCACACATCCGACCATCCAACCAAGCTCATCTTCTGGGCTTCCTCATTCCCACCCCAAACAAAAGGGCGACACATCCACTTCCTCACACACTTTTGCTGGAAGTAACACATAATATTAATTGTTGTAAAATGGAAGAGTTGATAGGACCGAATTTACCAGAGAAATCCTTCCAGCTAGGCTGAGACTTGACGCATTCCAGCCAGTTAGTCGACGTCTGACCTTCTTCCACAACACCGACATAGGTATCTTGATTTATTCTTTCATGAATCAAGGGGACTTATAATAATATTTACCCAGGTTAGCAACCTGGATAAGGCCTAGTTTCTTGGCCTCACTCTTCCTCTTTTCCCACCCCATATTGCCCGAGAAGAAGACTCTCGTTTTGGGTTCACTTATTTTCATGCCTTTGCTTCATCTAGCACTCCTGTCAACATAGAAAGTTGACCA